TGGTCGGCTGACTCCATTGCGAGCCAATGGGAGTTAGGCTACTTCTCCCGGGTCAAAGGTTAGCGCGCGGGGTATTTAAGGGCCTGTAACGTTCAGAGAAGTCGCTTGCTTGAGGACATCCTGACCGTATAGTAAGTCGGGAGGTCTTCCTCCTTTCCTTAGGTTTTGTGTAGGATTATTTTGCATGTAGAGTAGGAGAGACTATTAGTTGTGTGTGATGCTGGCTTCTGTTTATTTTGTTGAGTTTGGCTTAGTTTGTTTTTATTAATTAAGTTAGATAGATAGATAGATTATCTTTATTTCCTCCAAAAATATGAAGATTGTTTCATGTTACAACAAAGTGTCAAGTTGAATATACAATGACTCAGTAGACAGTTAATTGTGCAGATATTTTAGAATGACAGACTGACATAAAATCAGCCACTAATAACATAACTTCCGCCCATTCTGTCATATTTAAGTTACCAAGTGTTGTACAAGATCCACCAAGTAAATCAGCAATTATTACATCGTCATCATTTTCCCAAAAGTCAACAAAATCAGATATCGATATAATATCACAAATCTTTTCAAACATTTCATTTCTCAAATCATTAAGATGTGTACAGGACATAATAACATGTTTAACAATATCAGAAGCTACTATTCCACATATACACTCTCTGGATTCAATCTTTTTACAGCCAATGTGAACAATATGAGAGAGTTTGTAAAATTTAGGCTTTTTAATCAAGGCTAGTTCCCACAGTCTACTTGGATTAAAAGGCTCTCGGATAAGGCAATATCTGGAGAGATCCTCTCTCACTGCTATCTGATGACACAACAAACTCTCGTAAGCATCACAGATTCTGGATTTAACAATATCATTCCATTTTGCTTTAGAACATATAACCCCTGTTGTGATGTATGTATTAACAGCGTCAAACAAGCCATACTTGTTTATGAGCTTAACCATGTACAGGATAGGTGACGGGGATTTACCAATGGTAGTCATACATCTGGATTCAAATAGACGATGAAGAAATAATTGTTTAACAACATAGGCATCATTTAGACGGCAGATTCTACCAAACATAAGCAAACAAGATTTTTCTATATACCCTTGAATTGGCAGTAGGCCCAGGGTATCTAGAACCACAGGAGAAGCAGTGCGTTTAGGCAGACCTTGTACCTTTCTACAGAAATACCTATGTGTTAACTCCAACACGTCCAATTCTTTTGACGTTAAGCTGCTCCAGACAGTACAACCATATAAAGCACATGGTAAAATGACATATTAACCAGTTTACGTGCTTTTTCACATGATGACATTGTTCTATCATACGATTCATTACATGAAGACAACTGAACTCCAGCGTACGTAACAGATTGCATGAGAGGGATGGCCACAGAACCAAGATACAGGTCCAGGTCCAGGGAAGAAAGGGAAGAAGAAGAGCTGGAGGCCATGGCTGCCCTGAACAGTGATTGAATTTATAAACGTCGCATTATTTCTATTGCATTTGTCGCATTTTTGTTGTAACTTATTGTAAGTGTGAATGTGTGTGTGAAAAGAAATATGGGAATAAAATTGGGAATTTTACTCTTAAGGGGGGAGGAATGTAGGAAAATGGGTTTTTTGTTGGGAATAAAAGTTATTTTCTTTTCACATTATTGGGGTTGTAATATATATATTTAGTGGGAAGTTTTATGTAGCAGTTTCCGGGAGTAAGAGATTTCTTCAGAGGTTGCTTGTAGTGTATAAAATTCCCCTTTTTACCTTTGTTTGGCTGTAAAATTCCGTTGGAATTATTCCTTTCCCGGACAGTTTACAGTCACGGCATGCGCTGCCATGCCGTGCTCGGATTGCCGTGGCCCGGTGTGTTTTCTGTTTGCATTCTGAGTGCGGTATGGTAGGGCTGTCGTGATTGGTTGGCTGACTCCATTGCGGGCCAATGGGAGTTAGGCTACTTCTCCCGGGTCAAAGGTTAGCGCGCGGGGTATTTAAGGGCCTGTAACGTTCAGAGAAGTCGCTTGCTTGAGGACATCCTGACCGTATAGTAAGTCGGGAGGTCTTCCTCCTTTCCTTAGGTTTTGTGTAGGATTATTTTGCATGTAGAGTAGGAGAATATTTTTAGTGGGTTGGGAAACGATAGGATTAGAGTAGGCTTTGTATGTAGGAATTAATTAGTTAGGACTTTCTTTTCTTTGGGTTTCATAGACTGTTAGTTGTGTGTGATGCTGGCTTCTGTTTATTTTTTTGAGTTTGGCTTAGTTTGTTTTTATTTATTAATAAACTGTATTTATTTGGTGAAATCTGAACTTTGTTCTTATTTTGTGAAGAATCTTTAACAATGACTTGAACTACCATAGAACCTGAAATAACGTCCATGAAAGGTTCCGTTCTCCAGGTACAAGATTAACATCTAATTAAAATACACAACGCAAAGTCCACAACGGAGAACGTTAAATAACAACATCAAACCAAACTATATGAACCTTACTGTCACTGGGTGACCTCCCTCAGCGGAGGCGCCTATTACAAGTCTTTGGATATCAATCTTTTTACATGTTGATCAAAGTCAATGATAATCCTTTGCTCAAATATCATGACTTTGGATTGTTTTAGTAAATCGGTTATTGAGTTCAAGCAATTAGTATCGTTGGTGAAAATAAGTCAGTTGCAGAATGAATTCATCTCCAAGTGCGAAATCGGTTACGCTGGTAGTACTTGTTAAATCTCCAAAGAACGAACGAACGAATTCATCCTATCATTATGGCGAATGCTTTGGTATGTGTGATGCTGATAGACAACCTTCGTGGTGGTAGACATCTCTATCATCAGGGATACAAGTTCAGAGTTAACAGAAGGAGGGCAGAGAAGACATACTGGAAATGTACACAGCCCGGGTGCAGTGCCCATGTTTTGACAGTGGACGACATGGCCAACTCAGTTGGCAACGGTCACAACCACCGTGCCCGAGACTATGTTACTGAAGTTGATGCATTCAAATCCAAGTTCCACAATCGGGCCAGATCTGGCGCTACAACCCCTGTTAATCAGATCTACCAAGTTGAAATTGCCAAGTTGCGGAGAAACCCACATTTAGCGCATGATGCTCTTCTGAGACTGATTCCCACATACGATGCCATGAGAACGAGCATGTACTGCCAAAGACACAAGACAGTACCAAGACTGTCCCACACCTCACAGGACATCGACCTACAGGACCAGTGGACCAGGACAAAGGCAGGGGAAAGATTCTTACATCAACAGGAGGGACAGTCTCCTATCTTCATATTCACCACTGACAAGGATCTAGAACTGCGATGCTGACGGGACTTTCTCAATATGCCCTAGGCTCTTCGACCAGATATATTCCATCTATGCTGAATTCCAAGGACATATGTTGCCACTCATGTATGGACTCATGTCAGACAGAACTGAGGACTCATTCACACGGATGTTTACCTAACTGAAGCAGACCTCGGTGAACCTAGGACAGGTACCAAGTTTGTGAGACGAGCGGCTGCACTTCCCCTTGTGCCCGAGGACAAAGTTGAAGACGTTTGGGTAGACACCATCGGTAATGCTCCTCAAGGTGAAAAGGCAACACAGCTGATGGACTAAGTCACGTCAATCTGGATCGAAGGTTCTTGGCCACTGTCTATGTGGAACCACCTTGGCAATGATGGACATCGTACCAACAACAATCTTGAAGGCTGGCACCACAAAATAAACAAATTTGCAAAGAAAAACCCGAACATCTATGAACTCTTACGTCTCATTCAGAAAGAACAGTCAGTGGCTGGGGTTAAGATCCAGCAGATCCAAGGACATGGCAGAGGACCTGTTAGGAAGAGGAAGTATCGGCAAACTGACATGAGAATCAGATCTCTTAAGGATGATCGCCCAGAGACTGTGTGAGATGGACTACACAGATCATGTCTCGGAACTCCTTCACCTGGGATAGACATTGCAGACTGTGTGGGTACCTAAATGCTTGTTCAGCTGTATCAATGCTAGTTTTCAATGAAAGACTGATTTATATATTTTACACATGTTGATCATGCTCGTTGTATGCTTTATATTTGTTTGAAACATTTCGCATATTCAGATTCCATTGAATGTTTAAACCAGTGCTAATCCTTGTTGTGTTCACTGTTTGCCTATGAGATTAAGTCAGTGGGGGTGAAACCAGCCAAGTGCAACAATAGTCCGCGATGCCCCGCTGAGTCGACACTAACTTTGGGTGGTAAATCTTCATTTGTCGACTTCCTGGGCTTGAACCGGGTTATTCATGACTGTAACGCACATAGTAGAAAGTGTATCAAGAGTTTCAATTTCAATGTTATTTTTGCTAACAAAGACATACTAGCACAATTTATGATGTTTGACTTGTTGTTAGTTGAATGTAAAGCTTGTGCTGTATTCATGTTACTATGTTTTATCCAAGCTCACTGTAGCGATGTAGGCTCTGATTGTTCTTTTGTTACTTTATCTTGCGGGGGACGTTGAATCTAATCCAGGTCCATTTGGTCAGTCGGAAAACATGCTATATATATTTCATCTCAATGTGAGAAGTATTTGCAACAAGCAGTCGTACCTGTCAGAATTTCTATCTGACTACAACATTGTTTGCTTCACTGAAACTCATTTAGATGAACAATTTAGTTTAACAATGGATAGTTTTCATTGTCCAGTATTAAAGAACAAAATGGCTGACAATAGTCTTAATTGATGTTACAAGTTACCAGAACATTTTGTCATCATTGCAAATATCATTGTGATGATAAATAATTAATTTATAACATTTAAACATTTTTCATACATTGTTCATGTTGAAATCTGGAATATAAATGAGATTTTATCTTGCTTTTATTAGGCAGGATTATCATGTTATATTCAATGGCCTGGGCTGATTTTCACAAATATCTTTTAAAGCCAAACATTTGCAACATAAGTACAGTTCTCCAGGTGTTAATATGTTACTATAAGATGTCTTTCTCTTGTGTTTCAGGTGTAGTGTGTTTCTTTTAGAGTGTGAACTTGACCAATTGTGGATATCTCTACCTACTGATGAACAGAATATGCTCACATTCGGTGCACTCTTGGATCACTTTCTTATCAGCCTAGCATCGTCTAAGAAAGTTTCAGAACACGATTCTCATGCAAATGGTAATGTATTTATGCATAGCAAATAGTATGACTCTGGCAATGTACTCACAATAAAGACCTGTACAGACTGTAAGTCCATAATGACAAAATAACCAAATTAGGTTTCACTTTTTTTCATGACAACTGAGGTAACTACAATTGCCATCATAAACCATCAGAATAAATCTTAGACCGAGATTTGATCAACTGGTGGTGGTATCTTTTACAGGGCAAGTTTACACGAAAATTAACCTTTTTGTCTTGCACTTTTTCATCATAAAAAGTATTTGTCAAGTACTTTCATAGCCAAAACAGTATAGATATCAGAAGTAACTAATCTATTTTTTATGCCCCCGCCATATATGGCTGGGGGCATATAGGGTTACCCTCCGTGTCCGTCCGTCCGTACGAAACAGGGAATGTACTCTATCCACTTCTCCACAAAAAGTGCTCTGTGGAATTCAATGAACTTATACATGGGCTTTCTTGGGACTCTAATGGTGTGCATCTCATATTTTCTGTTTTTGTATTTTATTGGGTTTTTTTGGTAAGTTTAGAGACATTTGAACTTAGGTACATTTTGCTGAATTTCTCTATGATGATAGTGTAATAGGGGATGAAGTCTATCCACTTCTCCACAACAACTGCTTTAACAGAATTGATTGAACTTCTACATGTCTTTCGTAGGGACTCTAAATTTGTGCATTTTATATTTTTTTATGCAATTTCTTCATTTTGTCACTTTTACAGATGTTTGAACCTATTAGTTGAATTTTGTTCTATTCAGCCTGTTCGTTCCATCCAACAGGGGGATGTACGTTATCCACTTCTCCTCAAAAACTACTTTCACTCATTCTCAACGAAACTGCACAATTTAGAGATGATAGTAAAGAAAAACAAAACTACATCAGTCCAAGAAATATGTTTATTTTCCAGAACTACAACTTGTGAACGAACATTTTATACTTTTTCAACACTCGGTGAACAGTATTAAACTTGTAGCACTACTTTGAAGTAGGGTACCCGTAAATACCCACGTAATTTACGTTCATGGGTAACAAGAAGTATCAACATAAACCAATAGAAAATGAACTCTTTTGTTCTTGTTTTGATTCAAAAATCGAATAAGGAAATAATTTATTCATATGAAAAACCAAAGAATGTGTACTCAGTAATGCGTATTTCACACTGTTGAGGCCACATGATACCTATTCAGAATCCAGAAATGACGGAACCACACATACCACATTTACATTACATATTAGATTTAAACCAGAAACTTCAAAACAAAACGTTCCTTTTACTTAAAACGCCACGAATCACACAAAATGGGAATGACGTTGTTTTGGCTTTTGGCTGTTAAACATCTTTACCATCTTACATTTCCACAGCGTGACGTATATTACAGACTTACCCAAACATTATCCTCTTTAATCAACCTTATGTTGCAACAACATACATCATTGATCATGTTTGTCTAACATTCTCTTGAGTTAGATTAATTGATGATGAAATTAATATGGATTAAAGGCCGGAGAAATGAAAACTTATAATATGGTCTCCAAACAACCTCAGAGTGTCTCGTAAATTACAGATATATTCTGTCTTCTTTGTATATCTGAGGAAACATGACAATTAAAAGGTAAGATTATTCAACTGTAACAAACAAGAGATGTAACAATTAACAGAACATGAAACTGGAACCTCTAACAGTAACATCTGTGAACAATAAAGATCCGTAACGTAAGTTACTCATTTGCGTTGTGTGCACTGGTGGACAGCATCAGCATCATTTGGGCACAACTTGAACATTCTGCGGCTTTTGCCTGTTGGAGCTGGATCTTCCTCCAGTATATAGAGAATGCTGGTTCGATCCACCCATATTTCATCAGCACTTTTTGGCCATTTGTAGCTGTGTGTTGCCTTTGATGTTTGCTCCATGAAGGTGATGTGCACTTCATTGTCCTCGCCATCAATGTCAAGCACTTTGCCGATGTAAGGTTTTCCTTCATACAGAGCACACACAAAGGCATCAACGTTGATGGTTGTACTAAGAGAGGGTACTTCTGTATCAACAATGACACCTTCGTTCTCAGTGGTAGTTGTCTCAGGAATAGGATGTGGATCAGATTCCTGGTCTTCATGATGTGTGCTCTCCTGCTGCTTCTTACCAACCTTGTTGATGTTTTGAATATTCCATGCACACACTGGACTGATTTTGAATCCTCCCATGTCGAAGCACTCTGAACACGTGCATGTCATCTCCCGTGACATCAACTGACCTTCAGGCACACCAGTGACACTTGAGATGGAATGGATTTTCATAGTTCCCTTTACAGGGTTGACAAGTTTCTGGCGTGCTTGAATTTCAACAGCTGCTTGATCAAACTCATCCTTCTCAATGTAGAAGTAGGAGATCTGGCTTGGTGTAGAACTTGCCCATCGGTAGAATTCAAATGCACTTTGAATGTTATACTTTTGTGTTTGAACAGCAGTGTCCGCCATTCGTTTCGCTGCACCACCAATGCCATCACAGGCACCCTTGCCGTGGCCACTCTCAAAATATTGCCACGACCCTCTACATCCAAATAGACTCTGGTGACGGGCAATGATGTCAAACGCACTCCTGTTTCGGTATTGATACGTAGGCGAATCAGTCCAGTAATGGATATGCTCAACATCAGGGCAAAAGGTCTTCACGTCTGTAATGATCCTTTTCACAATAGCAAACACCATTGGGAAATTGTGATGGAGCACGGCAGAGACATACACTGTACTTCTGTGCTGGAGTTCTCCGGTGGCAGCACGGAAATAGATAACAGCAGGATGTAACGTTACCATTTCCTGATTCCAGTACGCCGACTGAATCTCATCCATACTCTGGCAGCTATAATTTTCAGCAAAGTCCATTTGGACCAATACATGCCTATGACTGAGGTTACTCTTCATGTCCTTGAACGCAGCATACTGGTTCTTCACACGTTTGATATGTTCTGTAACATCTGCGAACTGTTCATTCATCTTTGTAACAAAGTCCGCCTTAGACATCTGCACCTCAACAACCTTCATTCTCTGTTTACCGTCCTCTGTTGTCACCCTTCTCCATTCCTTGAAGTTCACAGCGCCATCTCCACCCTCAATGCCATCTAACACAGCTGCTATTCCATGCTCACAGTGTGTTTCTACAAATTTATCAGGACTGGTAATGGTGGTCAAATTTAAAAGTTTCAGTGTTTTTAACTTCAGTGCAAAATTCTGGTGTTTTATACAAAGACATGTGACACGGGCGGCAAAGTTCACTAAAGCCACATGTTTTGGTCGCATCCTACAGAATGAGGCCAAGGACAGCTTGACTTCGGATATTCTGCCTGAAATTTTAGGTGGAGGTTTCTGAGATAATCGCTGAGGATATACTTTTGGACTTTTTGTCCTTTCACCTCTCCTTTCACAGCATCTGCCTTTCCAGGCATGAGACGTGAGTTGTCCTCTCTCTCTAGAAAATATGTTACCTTGTTCGAAGCTGCTGTGCAACCACATTACATTTTCGTTTCAGATTCAGTATTTTAGAATTGGAGCTCACCAGGCGCTTTTCGCGAGATAGTGCTGACCTTGGACAGCGCTGTTGTCAACCTGTACTTCTTAATGATTTTACCCGATGCAACCCGAGCAATAAGGTTTCTTGTTCCTGACGAATTGATTCTGTTTGCGGCAGCTATCTCTTCAGACAGGCATGCTCCCAAAATAAGCTTTTTCCGAGTGTTGGACTCTTCACTGGACTGACGCCAGCATTTCTCATCTCAGAGTCTACAGCTTTACCAGGACTTGCTGTATTGGCAGTTATTTTCATCCTTTTCTGGAGACGTTCATACCGCCTTCTCAACCCTCTTCACACGTCCGCTTTAGATACATGTTTGAATGTGTCAGGCTTTTCAATTTCCTATTGGCCTTAGATGTAGCTCGACTGACGCGTTTTCTTGTCCTGGATGCACCCAATAACCCCAGGGAGGTCTTGGGAAGTTTCACGATCAGGGGTGCCGTTACTGGACGTACTGGATACGCCCGTTCTCATCACAATTTCCAGCCACCATGTTATCAGACCCTCCAGAATGCGGCTGATTGTCTTCGTCCATTCTAGCAAGAATTGCCTTCACTTTGTTTCTATATTTCTGTACATTTCTTTTGTTTCTTTCTCTTCGTTTTGTTTTTTCTGTTCTTGTCAGTGAACTAGTCGGAACAAAATATTTCTTGACGCGTTTTGTTTCTTTTGTTTTCCACTCATCTCCCAGCTCTGCCTTTTTTCTCTCCCTGTAGACTCTTTGCCGCTCTGCCTGTGTTTTGGCCATACTAACTGCAATAAAACACGTTAAAAACCGTAAATGTGTGTTTCTAATATAGTCTATTGAAGAAAGAGGCAGTTAAGAAAGCTAAGTATGCAGTTGTTGGTAGTACAAAGGACATAATTTATGTTGTAATTTACGTTGTAATTTACGTTCTTGTTAAATCCAAAGACTGAATTATGATTAAGCGACAAAGATTACAAAAACAGTAAAATCTTTGCATCAGATATGTAATCAATAGAGAAATGAACATTTTTCTGTAAACATGGCCGAGACAGTCGTGTCACATTGAGATATCTACAAGCAACAATCACACAATGAGACATTGGGATAAAACATTTGTTTACTTTTGGATTCATACTGATTTAGTGTGAGTTAAAATGCAATCGGTAAGGTCGACAAAGCGTACACTTCAATTTCATCAACATGTTAAATTGTTTTATCACCTTAAGTAACGATTCCGTAAGAAATATTCCTGTGAAATTTACGTAACAGTTTTAGTAATTTACGTTATGGTGAAAAAGTTGCATGGGCGACAATGGAAACCATAGAATCAGTACTGTTTCATATTAGTACGTCTGCTGAATTCGTGAAGTGTCAGAAAATATCAAAAACACATATAGGTACAAATAAGAAGTGGTAAAATGCGAGGACTCATTCATACATACCGTCCACCAATGATGT